TCTGCTTGTTACAAAGTAGGTCGCGGGAGCAGCAGCTTGAGCAGGGAGGCCCAGACATCTCTTTCCACAACCACCTGTTCCAGCTCTTCTGTAGGGACTCCAAGGAGATCCCAGACCAACCGAGAGATGTAGTCTCTCTAGCTTGTCCTGGGTCTTCCCCGGGGTCTCCTTCCAGTCGAACATGCTTGAACCACCTCAACTGGCTCCTCAATGTTGAGGAGCAGCAGTTCTACTCTGAGTCTCTCCCAGATAACTGAACTTCTCACCCTATCTCTAAGGGACAGTCCAGCTACACTGCAGAGGAAACTCATTTCAACCGACTGTATCCACAATCTCATTCGTTTGGTCACTACCCAGAGCTCGTGACCATATGTGAGGGAAGGAACGTAGACCAACCAGCAAACAGAGAGCTTTGCCTTATAGCTCAGCTCCCTCTTCACCACAATGGACCGGTACAGAGTCCACAATATTGCAGATGCTGCACCAGTCCGTCTGTCAATCTCACGCTCCATTCTTCCCTCACTCGTGAACAAAACCCTGAGATACTTGAACTCCTCCACTTGAGGCAGAACCTCGACCTGAAGTGAGGAATCCAACATTTTCCAATTGAGGGCCATGACCTCACATTTGGAGGTGCCGATTCTCATCCCAGCCACTTCACACTCGGCTGCGAACCGCTCCACTGAGAGCTGAAGATCACGGCACGATGACGCCAACAGGACAACATCATCTGCAAAGAGCAGAGATGGAATCCTGAGGCCACCGAACCAAAATCCCTCCACCAGCTGGCTGCACCGAGAAATTCTGTCCATAAAACTTATGAACAGAATCGGTGACAACAGGCAGCCCTGGAGGAGTCCAACACCGAAATTTGACCTTGTGAATATGGTCATTTGAAAAAGAGGTGAGTAATAAAGCTTCAACATTACATCACCATGTCTAAAGGAAATGTAAGGCTGTAGTATTTAACTTGGAAGAGCAAATAAATAAATAACAGTTGGTAGAGCTGTTGTCACTCAGCGAGAATGTCACTGGTTCAAATCCCGGTCCGGGACCTTTCTGGGTGGAGTTTGCATGTTCTCTCCGTGCATGTGTGGGTTTTCTCTGGGTACTCCGGTTTCCTCCCACAGTTTAAAAACATGCATGTTAGACTGACTGGTAACTCTAAATTGTCCCTAGATGTGAGTGAGAGAGTGAATGGTTGATTGTCTCTATGTGTCCCTGTGATGGACTGGAGACCTGTCCAGGGTGTCCCTCGCCTCTCGCACTGTAATTGCTGGACATGGGCACCAGTGACCCCTGCAGATTGCAGGTATTCTATGATGAGCTACAAATCATGAGTGTGGATCTGTTGCTGCAAGACTCCTGCAGTATCTGTTAGTTACTTATAAAAACAAAAGAAAAATGAGAACAAAGATCCGTGCAGCTTGGAATCCTCCCTCAAGAGCTGGAAGAGGTGGCTATAGAAAGTGGAGTGGGATGGATGGATGGATGGATGAATGGATGATGGATGGATGGGTGGTAAAGAAGTGGAAGATCAGTTTGACTTCCACTTCTTCACAGTACCATGGTTGTGCCTGCCTGTGGACACCATGTTGACTGAACAGTCAGATCAGATGTGAACAGACCAGAAGGTTCATATTGATCTATTCTTTCTCAGAGGGATTTAAAACCTCCAGCCCCCCTCCACCTCCCGCAGGGAAGGGGGAGAGGAGGTCGATTCCTACCTCACCGAGGCGTCTCTGTCCCTGTCCGGAGTGGGCAGAGGGTCCAGCTGGGGGTCTCAGGCCTGCAGACACACGCCGTTATTTGGGTGGAGAGGCGAGAGCGGCGTCCCTTTTCATTCCACCTCACTGCCTCCATTTTTAATGGATTTACAAGAAAAAAAACAGGCCCCCCCCCCCCCCCCCCCAACACACACGCGACCTCAAACACACATGAAGCATGACTAAAGACACACACAGCAAGCTCATGCACTCAGTCCAGCATCCAGATTAATGTTGGCCTCTTTTCTCTGTCGTTGTTGTTTTGGCGGCCTCGTGTCCGTCTGTCTCGGACCAACTTTCAAACGTCCGTTTGTTCGCCGCACTTTGATTGTGCTGCGAGGAAGTTGTGCCTGAAATCGTTACGTTTTTGCATTTTGCACGACAACAGGCACTGTTAAAAAGACCCGCTCGTTCCACTGTCCACTGCCAGGTCTCCCATTCAGGGAGGGGTGTTTCATCTTTTCATTGTAAGAATCCATAAATTAACCTTTTGATGAATCCCCCCCCCCCCCCTGACCCGGTCTGGCCCAAACTCAGCCACAAGCTTGACTGGGCACAGCCTGATGTCACCGCCGCAGAGCTGAGGGACGGTTTAGAGACGCCTTTTGTTGACGTCCACCTAACAGAGGGTTTTCATGAGAGTTAACAAAGCTGTTGAGTTATGTCACTTGTTTTCACCAAGAAAAGAAAAACAACAAAACACTTCATGTAAGTGGTATTCAAGAAAACATTTATGAAAAACTTGTTTAAATGCAATGTTTTCTTACCTAAACCTTCGCTCATTGAGTTTTCAATCATGTTTGAATTACAGGAGACGTCATGTATTTTTGTCATGAATTTAAAGGGAAAGTTCAGACTTTTTAAAGAGGGGTTCCCTTTTGATGAGCCAATGGCAAGTCTGAGACCCAAATGGATTGTTGTCAACTTAAACAGCTCCAACATCAAAACAAGCGGCACGCTGATGTCCTTTGTTACTCAAGGATGTAAACAGTGAATGTTAGATTTTGAGATGAGATTCAAGGTTTTCTGGACTGGAAGTGAACAAAGGAACTCAAGTAAGACTTAATGGTTTTGGTGTAATATGGGTATGAGTTAGCCGAGGCAGTGCAGAGTGACAGATCCTTGTGAGTGGAGGGAGCGATTTTATCCAAAACCAGGAACAATGGCGAAGCCAGGGGGTGGACAATGGTGGCCTTGACCAATGCATTTTTTATCGTCTACTCCCATTTTAGAAAACTTTACATTTCTCTGTTGTTTTTTAAATAAAAGGTTATTTCAGCAGAAATAGAGTATATCTGCCAGGGGTGCCCCAACCTACACTGGAAGAGCTACAGCTAACTGCTGCTGTTTGCACTTACAAATACCCAGGAACGTCAATAATTGTGTAATCCCATATGAACTGTGGTGTACATTTGTTTAAATTGAATGTTACTTTTTGAGATTGGAGTCATTTGTAGCCGTTGGCTCGTCAGTTCGGTCAGAAAAGAGTTAAAGTCCAGAAAGGAGGTGTTCCTTCAGGCTCTCTATGATCCTGAGGTGAGTTCATGTTTCAAATTAAGGACCAGGTGTCATCAAGTAGTGCAGCCATTTGTTTTATGCTAAACCATCGTTTTGTCAATATTTTCCATTATTATTTGCTTTTAAAATTACTTATATACTTTTAAAACATTTTAATTCCATCCTAAAAGCTGGGCAACCATCTAAAAAGTTTTTTGTTTGTTTAAACAAACAAAAAGGGTTAAATCGTGATCTGGGCAAGTTTCTTTTTTGGGGGAGAAATGTTTTGACTTTCATCTGAAAGACTTCATCAGTCTGAGGCCTGCCAACCCAGACCGGTCTTATAAATAGTACCTGCTTGATGCGTTTCAAGACAGCCCTCTCAAAAAGAACCTAGCTTTATATTAACAACAAAGTCCATGCTCTATAATCCAGGTATACAATCCAACAATTTTCAGTCAGGTCATCTGGACAGTTTCTTTTTTGTTGTCGTGCTAAAACGTTTCACCTTCCATCCAGAAGGCTTCATCAGTCAATGAAACACGCAACACAAAACTGATTATTCCCCCAACAGCTTACATCTAAAGTGGAACAAACCAGTTAAGTTGGTGCTAAGATGGTTCAACTGGTTTGTTCCACTTTGGATGTAAGCTGTTGGGGGAAGAATCAGTTTTGTGTTGTGCGTTTCCTTGACTGATGAAGCCTTCTGGATAGAAGGTGAAACGTTTTAGCACAACAACACAAAAAAACTGTCCAGATGACCTTACTGAAAAATGTTGGCTAGCTTTACATTATTTTTTATTAAACATCTTCAAATGTTTGATTGCCAAATCAGGTAGAATACTCGGTTCATCGATCTCCAACAAGTCAAATGAAAACTCTTAAAAGAAAATTAGTCAAAATCATGTTTTTATTGGAAAGTTTGGAGCTGTAAAACAAGTAGCAACAGGTTGTATCAGTAAAATATTTTCAACGTTAGCATAACAGACTTGTACTTTGATATATTAGTGACATGCACAGAGCATACATGAAGAACGTGGAAAAAAAAGAGACTTGAAAATTTCCTACAAAAGGTTTTGATAATTCACAAACGCCAAAATCAGGTTAAGACAAAGACAGAAAAAGTTAAAACCATTGAGAGGTATTATGTGCAAATCAGAGGCAACTACAAATTCATTACAAAATAAATGTACAACTGTACATACATAAGACTTCCATTTAAGATTTTTATAACGTACAAATTTTGAAACGCAGCTACTACGCTAACTGCTTTGAACTTTCACTTAAATCCCACGTAAAACTAAAATTATTCATGTTTTTGTCTTATGTTGAGCTAATGTCTTCTAATAAACATAATCATACATTTTCACGTCAAAACAATGCATTTTTAAATGAAAGACGATTGCTAAAATAGTACATTCACAAAAAAATAAATTAAAAAAATAAAGAAAGTAAAACAAAGATGCAACCCTTCCTGGAGCATATACAGGCAAGATTAAACAAACACCCTGAGAAACAAAACTGACTAAATCATAGTTTGTTTTTTAACAGATAAGTATCTCCTTCAGCCCTGATGGGCAACACATGAGGTTTTTTTTTTTAACATTGTGGACAGAAGTACAAATTTAGCTCACCAAAATTGAGGGAAGCCCAAGTCCAAATGCTTAAAATATAGACAGGAAGAATATTTCTGTGTACAAAATCATACACGTCCACAAAATGCCTCCTCTCCTCCTCCAAATGTCTGGCTTAGCTAAAGTCCAATTTAGCCTCCCTGCAGTCCAGATACTCTACACCTGAGTAAACGAGTCGGGGTGGGGGGGGCTGGAGAAAGAACCAGAAAATGACAGCTTCTGTAAAACACGTCAGGATAACTTGTTCTTGCAGAGCAGGGTCGATCCAGTCACAGTAGTTTATTTGTCCCAACAGGAAAAAGGAAAAGGTTTGCAGATTTTCAAGCAGAGATGACTGTGAGATCCCTGCAGTTGGCATGGCAACCAGTCCTGCTCAGACTGCGGGGCTGCATGGGAAAGTTACACAAGACGTTCGAGTAAACAAATCAGGTGGGAAGAGGCCGCAGACTTTCAGTCTCTGGGCTCTTTTCAGCCCTTTACCCTTTTTGCAGCAGAAAATCCATCAGAGAGGATGGAAGCCACGACAAGAACACACAAACCCCTTCTTCATCTTCCTCCTCCTCCTCCTCCTCGGAGCCAGTGGGGGGGAGAGACATTTCTGCATACCAGACACCACGGCTCATCTGGGGGAAAGAAAGAGGGGAATTAATGTTCATATCCTGTGAACGCTGCTGCATAAAGAGTGCGTAAAACTTCAGCAGTGCCATTTGATCAGAACGAGGGCGGATGCGATATTTAACCAAATCATGTGGGATTAAGAAGTTTATTCATTTATGTTGCTGGGTAATAAATATTTGAAGGAGGTGACAGACAGAAAATAAGATCAGACAATTAAAAAAAAATGTTCTCAAAACCATCTGCTAATCTATTTTTCCCAGATGTAGTCCATCTCTTATGGCTCAATTCTCAAATTCCTGCATGTGCAAGCAGCATTTTCCTGACAGATGCTGTAATTAATTCTTTGGAATCTCTCATCTCGTGCTTTCACCGCAACCTCAGATAAACTCTGTGTATAATTTAACCACACGTTAAGGGAGTCTTGAACGTGCCGTTTGCCTCCATTAGCATGCTTCTGATGACAGCTCTGCTCTCTGCGCTGGGACGAAGAGCCTCGACGTTCAGGCTCTGCAGTAAGGGGGCGGGTGTTTGGATAAGCTTATGAGCTCTCATTGTCACGGCTGAAAAAGCCGGCTGACATTATAGAAGGTTTCGCTGACTCATACGCATCCTGTTGCAGTTGGGAATATTTTGCCTGAAGTGCACCAGTGGAGCACAGGTGGAGCATTGTGTTACTGGGAGCAACATGAGCTCAGAAACAAGCTTCAGATTTAAATTTGGTGATTAAAAGCACACTTTCAGCTCGTGTATTTGAACGTTAAATATTTAAACTGGATTTATGAGACTTTGTGTGTCAAACCTTACAGAAACGCTAAAACAAATGTGCTGGAACAAAACAAAAAATGCACAAAAAGTTCAATTACCTCAAGGCAGAAACCAGCTCAACCCGTTTACAATTTTAGGTGTTGATTCATGTTTAGAAATTCAACACCGTTTTTAATCCATTATTCATCAGCTAAAAATATCAAATCAAGAATACTCTGCAGATTCTTACAGCAGAAAAATGATTTTTACTCAATATTAATCTTTTGATACAGCACAACTTGCTATATGTAAACAAGACACTAAAACAGCATCCTGCGCTGCTCAAACTCACAATTTTGAGTGAAATAAGGAGTTGCAGTGAGTTTAGCTAACCAACCTTAGTGTGAAAAGGTTGAGCCAGTTAGCCCAGCTTGGCTCAAAGGTTATAAAATCCTCCTGGGACCAAAAGTCTGAGTTGAACTAACTCAGCTCCTCCGGCTGCCACAAAGGTACAGCCCGAACCCTCTGCTCGTCTTATCTTAAAGGTGTAAAGGACAACGGTGAGCTCTAATAAACCAACATTTATCACCCTTTCAAAAGAGCTGCAGCTTCGTTTTCATCAGTTCTCCCATTAAAACCAGTGCAGCGACAGCTGGCTTTATCAGAGTGAATTAATGTGACGTGAACTTTGGTCAACATGCTAAAAACTATAGAAGTTGCTATCAGCAACACTAACAGCCTGAGTTTTGATTACGCGTTTTAAAGTTAACAACAGTCCAGGTGGAGAACAAAATGACCCGAAGATCCAAAAACAGCTCGGTACATCCATCTGTGTTTCACTTAATCAAGCTTGGGTTCCCTCAGCCACAACAAAGGTCTGGTTGTTACCAGGAATAAGCTGCATACTGTTTCACAGTCCCTCTATTACTCGTCAAGGTCAATTATATGCAACGCTGAGCTGTATCAGTTACAGTCTTCACCTTTAACCCATATTTCTAACTTCTATTAGAATAGGCACAGGCAGTGTGATGTACATGGACATTTTTTTTTTTTAATGTTCAAGGTAATTCACCTTCGCCGAAAAGATTACTCGTCTTAGTTTAACATTAAAAAAGCCCTTTTGTAACATGGTCACATTTATCTAATCACCAGCACCTGCGTCTGAACATTATTTTCATTTCATGTGCTTGTGTCCCTCAGATCCCACCTGCGTCCTCCAGTCAGCCCATTTACTCCAACAATGACCCAAACCAAAGCAGAGTTTCTTTAAGCTGTCCCTTGTGTGCATCAAGGTCTGTGCGATGCTTACTAATGACGCCTAGAACTCCCCTGGACTGACCAGCACGACTCACAGTTGCTTCATTTACATGAGTTTGCATCACTTTGAAGGACACATGGACTCCACAATGAGCTCCAAGTTACAGGCTTTGGTTAAAAAGCTCCAAAGCAGAAAGGCTAGAAGAATCCTCGCAGAAGCTCCAGTTTAATCTCCTTCTGTTGCAAATATTGCGTAATTCAGATTAATTACCAGACAGACCCACACTCCATCCCACCCCCAGCTGGCTTTCTGAGGAGGCCCCTGGAACTGTATGACAGCTCGTCTCTTTTTGAGGATGTAATCAAATTAGTCTAGGCGATTATTCAGCCATTTTAGGCATCGCCTTTCCTTTTCCTTTTTGTTACTCTCAGCACGGCAAAAGAAGGCCAATAAAAACGCCATTAGGTTTATGCAAATTTAAGCAGCCGTGCTGAGGGCTGTAATGTGGCAAACTGATTACTCGAGGGAATGGATATGAAGTGTGCGCCTGTGCCATCGCTGCGCGTTTGCATCGGAGCTAAGGTGGTGGTGGTGGAGGGGAATGTTGTTTTACACAGATGCCTCAATAAAAGCCTCTTTCAGCTCGTGTTCCTGGTGACCCTCACAGCGAGGCATTAATAAAACATTAGTATTGAGTGACTGGGGCCTCTGCACTCCTCCCTGATCCTGACGTGACCTTTCTATTTTACAGCAGCTGTCTGGAGATGCCGCAAGCTCGCCAAGGAGTCCCTCGGCAGCCTCTGACCTCTGCAGGTGGATCCTATCAAACGGAGATGTTCCCACTTCAGATAAAAGAGGAGAAGCTCCTTATATCAGAGTTCTTTTGTGAAGAAATGAGGAGGAGATGAAGCCTCAATAATAGATAAACCATCTCTGTGATTACAAGAGAATACAACGCTCACAACTTCTGCGAGGATCTCACATTACATCCCGTTGTCTGATAACATTCTTGTCTGCACCATTTTTTGTTTCCCCGCTTTGACCAAAACAGTGTTTAAACTTCCAGTTCTGCACTTGTATTGCCTGTAAACACGCAGCACACGATGAAGGGAACCGATTTAAATTTAGGAAGATGCACGCTGCGAAGTTCAGATCATGGTAAAGTGCAAAATCAAATAAACTGAGCTCAATACATTTTTAAATGCAGGTCCATACTCTATGAAAACAAAGCATTAGCCAGAATTGGTCAAAAATCACGTGGAAGCTTGAGTCATGATGAGTCTTAACATTAGGCTGGCTGTAGTCTATGAGGTAAACAAATACGGCAGAATCAGAATCTCAGATGTTCAGGTGGAGATATAAGTGATGGGTGTGAAATATGGTTTGTGAAACAGACCATTAACATACACGAGTCTAGGTAAAATCCTTGTTTACCATCAGTAATCGTTACTGCTCTGTAAAACATCAGCCACCATCAGAACAGAGCACCGTGGCAGTAATCCAAGGTCTTTAATCCCAGAACAACAAGTGAATTCAAATCTTGGAATAAGCATACAAATAGATGTCAGTAAATCTGAAATGTTTTCCATTTCTACCATAAAAATTAAGCAAAAAATAAGAGCAATAACCTGATGTTACAAACAAAAAACAACTTTTACTGGTGACTATTAGGACTGTATTGAAAAAAACAAACAGCATGTTTTAAGCCTGAGAGAGCCGTTTACTCAAGTCTAGACCCCAAGTATATGAACCTTAACCCATTTACAAATACTTTTCCATCAGCGGTGGGTACTTGGCTCCTCTAGTCTGCGGTTAGTCACATCTGGTGGAAATGAACAGGACAACAACAAACTACATTAGGTGGTAACACAAAGCTAAGTGTGACCAGCTCACACAGGCCTGAACTGCGAGGCAACATTAACAAATTATTACTAATGGTAAAATAGGCTGCACATTAATTCTTCTAAAATTAGAGCAAGGTTGGCCTCTTTAAAGAAGGGCCAATGCCAGCAATGTGACAGAGTGTGTGTGTGTGTGTGTGTGTGTGTGAGAGAGAGAGAGTGGAAAACAAGTGGTTTTTACAACCGCACAAAAACCTACAATACTACCAGTGAATACTTGAACAGCTGACTAGTGGTTTTTCAGATGCAACAAAACCAAAAGGGAATGGACTCACTCGCACACACACACACACACCTACACAAACACGCCCGCTTGGTTTGCTCTCTAACCCCAGCTGAAAGTCGACAGAGCGATGTATTTTTAGGCAGGCGTTAGTCTGTGTAGAATATAGTTTTGCTTCTGCTGGCATTACTCAACCTCCACTTTACCTCCTCCTCCGAGTGTGGTAGTCTTTATATTTTAATGGAGACTTTGCAGCAGTGCAATTCCTGCACAGCCCCAGTCCTGACTAAGTTTTGAAGATTAGAACAGTCCTACAGGTATAAATGTGTGCTTCACTTGTTTTGCTAGAGCACTTCTCTTCTAAAGATAACCGCCTCGGGTAAGGAAGGCACGAGCTGGGTCAGGGCAGAAGCAAGACTCAAGGTGGAAACTAATTTTTTCCACATTTTTGCTGTAATTAAACATACAAGACAGTCATCAGTGGGCTGGAGGCGACTGTCAAGTGTGAGATTTCATAAAGATATGTCGCCTTGATCTTTTCATAGTCAGCCTGTCTGTCTCCATCCTGGCACAGAAAAATATATCCCTCAAACCATGGATACAGGAACCCAAACCAGCAGTCCCATAACGCTAAGCCCTCAGCTCCATCGTCTCGTGCTGTTTACTGTAGACACACATACAGTAAGCCCTCCGCTTCGCACTCGTATTCTCTCAAACTCCTTGGCGCAAAAGAATAAATAAAAGTTTGGAGTCTGTCAGATGGAAAGGACTTATGAATCTGAAGCAGACCTTTACATCAGTAATTTGATGGAACAGGAACACTCGTGGTATTTTTGTCATGAATTTTGACTGCAAACTCAACTTCTTGTGTTTATCTAACAAGGTTAAGTCAGGTCCTCTGGACAGATTTTTCTTGTGTTTATGCTCTTCCAATAGATGTTGACTCGAGGTTCAAAAGTAGATTTCCAATTTAAATAGGTAAATTATGTACAATCCTGACATATGTTTTGAATAACAAATTTTTCTCATAAGATTATGGCAAAATATTTTATAAAACTACACCAGAGAGTATAAACTGTGCAGCTTCATTACAGCGATACAAAACAAAAACATGGAACCAAGACAACAATTTTCAGTCAGGTCATCTGGACAGTTTTTTTTTTTAATGAAAATTGTTGGATTGTATACCTGGATTATTGAGCATGGACTATGATGGAACCAATAAGTCATAAAAGTCACTTTTATAGCAAAACACCATTGAGTTTTTTGTTATTTGTTGTCTTAATGTTTTAGAAGTAATGGCACCTAAATCCAACATGTTCAGCCACCATGAGGACATTTAAAAACAACTTATAAGATAAAAAAGATCTTCTCATTTCAGCTACAAGCCTGTTTCTTCTCTCTGTGCAAATATCGAGAAACACCTCAGGGAAAACCTCTTACCTAACACGAAACTGTGAAAACTGGCACCTGTCTTCTCTTCAGGCAAACTGAGCCAAGCAATTCTTGAGTGGATTGATACGATACGTGTAAGGGAAATGATATTTTTGTTTCCTTGACACGAGGTCCTCCTTCCACCACTGCTCTGTCCCAGAGTCCATTTAAAGCTCACTGACCTACTGCTAATCCTGTGAACAGAACAGATTGTTCTGTCAACACATATGTTTACTCTAGCAGGTCTTTTAAGCCCCATAAATAACTACAGATTTATTAGTTTCAATTAGGAAATAAGTAAAGGACTTTCATGAAAATTTGCACATGTAGAATTGAGTACGTCGGGTTTTTTTACATTATGCAAAGTTGAACTCTCTCATTTACACAACATTTTGAAAGGTATGTTCTTGATCTTATCTAAATTGCACAATCCCTTTCATACATCACACCTGCTTGAAGTTCATGTCTAATAAAGGCGGTCCATCAGGCCCTGCAGAGGACCCTACTTGACTCCTGACACTACAAGCACAGACCTGATCCTCTGCTCTGTACTCCAGTCAGTAACAGAGGATACATTTTGTAGCCCAGGCTTTGTAATTATGAGCATGGCTGACATTCCTTTTGCTCTATAAAGCCAGGACTCCACCGTATTTATCCAACACTCGGCACTTAGATAATCTTTAACAACTGTAACCACTAGCAACCATGAAAACATTTAGGGACTTTAAAGTGGCCGCCTCGGGTTCAAAGTGTCACTTACACCAGCCTGGTAGCCATGTAACAATGTGGTGCGAGATGATTTGTGGTATACCCCTTCTTTACAGTGAATTTCCATATATTATCCGACAATACACACACAACCAACGTTTGGTTTTACGTGTCAGCTTAAGGAAGCTACAATTACTCACCTAGAAACCTCAGAGTCCATATGTCTCTACGATGGGAGGTACTTCCATGTGCTGACGAAGGCAGTAGGAATGAGTGAGTAGGGAACACTGGTCACACTGTCCCAGGAGTCTGATGATGGATCGTAACAGTCTAGCGTCTTACACCTCTGGGCCCCAAAGTACCCTCCAACCACATATAGTCTGTTTCCTGATGCCACTGCATGACAGCTGATCCGTTTGGCTGTAACATCGCCAAACTTTGACCACTGATATGTCTCACTGTTAAATCTGTACGCAGAGCTGGCTGAAAATTCGGTGTCGCCTCCTATCACAATGACGTGGTTACCTACTACAGCCGCCGCCGTGTACCGCCACAGCTGCGGACAAGCAGCTGGAACAGACCAACGATTCTGGCAGGGGTCAAAGCACTGCACCTTGGGATATTTGTCTCTGTTGACACTGGTGCCTCCAAAGGCGAAGAGTTTGTTTTTGGCACCAACCACAGCGGCATTGCTCACCCCTTCTCGGAGCGGTGCGACCAGGGTCCACTTGTTGGTCTGAGGGTCATATTGTTCAACCTGTTTCAGAGATACAGATGGAGAGGCCGGGAAGGACCCCGCCAGCGATGTGTGCCCTCCTACCACATATAGCATGTGGTCGAGTTCTGCAGAGCCATGTCCAAATCTGGCGACTAACATTTGCGCTGCTTTCGACCACTCATCGTGCAATGTGTCGTAGACCCAGACGTCCTTGGAAGCCCCGTTTTCAGAGCCACGACCTCCAGTAACATAAACCTAATGCAAAAACAGTAGAACTATATGAATACATGACAAAAACTTTTTATGTTTAAACTAACTGTTTAACAGTTCACATCACATACATACCTTGCACCCAATGGCACACGCACTGCATTCCTTTCTGGGGCTAGGGATGTCGGTTTTTGGGGTGATCTCTTTGGTCTTGTTATCAATCATGTAGACTTTATCACACATAAAGGTTTGGCCTCCCAGCAGAAGCAGGGCCTGGCTGACTTTTCTTGGTCGTGCACAGAACCCCGTTACAATCCCGTCATTCTGAAGGATCTTCATCTTACACCGCACGGCGTCTTCAACGATCTCCCGACCCACCTTGTGGCACATCACCAGCTCCTCCGAAGCAACGTTATTCAGCAGGTAGGACTCAGGCAGCAGTGCCAGGCGGACACAGCGCAGCAGCTCAGGTAGCTCGCTGTGTCTCCGCTCCATGTCCGCCTTCACCCAGTCGATGACAGCCTCGTACACCAGGCTTTCATCTTCTACCTCCAACTCCTCACTGAGGATCAGCTCTTGAACTTTATCCTTGGGCAGGCTGAGGAAGTCTTCTGTTCTTAAGAGAGTGGCAAAGTTTGCCAGGCACATTCTCCATGACAGCTCATACAGTCTCTGGCACTGGTGGGCATCAGACAGCAGCATCATCCCCAGACAGTTAGATGGGTGGAGGTTCTTTTCTAGGAACTCTGCCGCTGCGTCCCTGATGTCATGGAACTGAAGCATGTCTCCAGCTTCAAGCAGGGACTCTGCGTTCTCCTCGTTGATGATGACTCTGGCCGAGTATGTATAATCGAGCAGGAGCTCCAGCACCTCAGGATGGAGAGAGTCGTGGAAGTTGACATCAGCATCACGGCTCTCCCTGAGCCCACCGCTGAACATGGCCTCAAAGTAACGGCTGCAGGAGGCCAGGACGGCCCGGTGGCAGTGGAAGGAGCAGTTGCCGGCTTTCAGTACAACATCGGTGAAGACTCTTCGCTTGCGCAACAGGTTGAGCTGAGTCAACAAGCTGTCGGCATGAGACGTCTTGTGGAAAAGCTGGATATTCATGGAGCCAGAGCTGGAGCGAGACTTTCTGTTTTCGTGATTGCTGACAGACATCTTGACTTTGACCTGGCAGCAGGAAAAAAGCAGGAAAGAGGCAACACTTTACATCAAGTTCTGCCAAACGTTTGACTTTTACAAAACAGCTGAACAGGAAGAATGTGTGTTATACAAACCATGCACCAACACTACTGTGAACAATCTTTTGTCATGAATGAACAAAACCAACAGCTGGTGAATGACTGTTCAAAAAACTAAAACACCTTTATCAGCTCAACGGAAATGAACTTTAGACTGGAGATGAAAGATCAGATAAGCAGCGCCCTTTAAAAAAAAAAGTGTGTAAACTCTTCCCCTGCGATTTATGCTTTTAAATCAATAAAACATACATCACTGTCAGAACTGGGGGGGGGGGGGGGGGAATGACCCAAGTTGAAAGTTTTTAAAATTTGCTTTCTGTAATTAATGTTAGGCAAAGAAGAAACACCTGGGTGTGTTATCCTGAATCACACTGTAAGAAATGTCAGTAGAATTTACGTAGAAACTATGTAAAATCACAACATAAAAATACTGTAAATCAGAAAGCATAAATGTTTTGTTTAATTCACAGTTAACCTTTGTGAACTGTCAAACAATCTTTTTATGTTGTTTGTACAACAAAAACATGTGCAAATAATCAAATGTATTTGTTAAAACTACAAATGGTGGTAAAAAACACAAAAAAATATTGTAATGACCATAACAAAGCAATTTTGTTAAAATGACATTTAAATGCTGGAAAAACTAAAGTTTTTATCAGTTGTTTTTGAAAATACAAAATACAAAGGTAAATCACTTTACAACTTTATGCTGTACTTTTAACATGATTGATGAAATAATAATGACAAAAATGTTTGCCTAGAACACGAGACCTGAGTTCGACTCATGCTGAAAGCTTTCAACTACGATAATTTTGAACTTTGTGATATGAGAAAATTATAATGAGATCTAATATTTCTTATTTTGAAGGGATCTGTGACCGGAAGGAAAAGTTAGTCCTGTTTGATAATTTCAATAGCTTGAATTTTATTTATATTGAGATACACGACCATAAATCTATAAATATTTTTGTTTGATTTAGTGGAGGTATTTATTGAAACTGTTTTCAAGGCCAACCTGTTAAAATGCATTTAAGAACTTTAAATTGTTACTGCAGTGATATTATTCTGTGACTACAAAAACGTATCAATCCAAGCCAAAATAAATATAGTTTTAACATGGGTCTAAACAATTTTTAGACTGACTAAAACTAATCTATATTTGATGTTCATCCACAGTTTATGAATATTGTTCATCGTCCTGCTGAAAATAGCGAGTTTTTTTTTTTACATGTTTCCATGGCAACACCACTTCAGCTAGTACTCCGTTTTACCTTTGATCGTGATAAAAATTTCATTTTACACTTTAATATTGTGTGCAGATGCGGGTCAGATATTTAGTGATTTGTATACTTTTTGAAGCTAGAAAAAAATGTTACGTGTTGTAAGTCATGTGACCTCGGGACTACTAAGTGAATATGGTAAAAAGATTGATCTTCGTTTAATTTTAAAACTTTACATTTAAGGAGTAATATAAATTTGAATTTGAAAGTGCGCAACTGACGCTCGTTTTTATTGGATGATCCACTGAGGGCGGAGGAACACGAGCCTCAAGTTCACTGCCGCAGCTGACGTCATAACGAGCCAGAGTTGCCGTCTGTGGAGGAGCGGAGAAGAAATTTTCTAACTGTTTCACAAGTTTTATCGACACTTTTTACACCTTGTTTTTGAGTCTTTGGCTGTTCATTCAGAGAAAATAACATTTCCACGGTAAGCTTTACATTTACTTTTTTCCTACCGGAAATGTCTGCTGAACTGTTGTTGTAAGCACATGTTGTTGTAAGCTAGTGCCGTTAGCTTTTAAGACTGCTACACCAATGTGTGATAGTTTAGTTTAACTAAAAGTCACACACCAAATTTTCTAAAAATGATCTCCTGCGTCTTTTGCACAAAGAAACTGGACACATTAAGAGGGTATGTGCTACATTGCAAAGTGCATAGGAATGAGCCTCGTTGTTTTTTCAAGTGTGTTGGCGCTAACTGTAGTCAAACATTTACATCTTACTCTGCTTTCAAGGGCCATTTTTATCGTGTACATAATGCACCTGCGCCACAAGCTACAGCCATTGTTGCCGATTTAAAATGCGCGGTTGCATTATGTGCCCGCCATTTTCTCACGGTGAAAGAGCTAGTGTCTCACTTAAATGACCATATTGGAGAGGGCAGGTCAGTGTACACAAAAGTTAAAACTTCTCACTAATATTTTTCTATTATTGAGCTCACATTCTGGGTGTTACAAATTTTCTACTAACGTTTAACTGTTATTTAGCTCACTGTTCTGACATAGCTAATTTAAATGTTTAAAAAAAATAACTAATTCTAAATTGAATTGTGTAAATCTTATTGTGAAAGTTAAATGTTGAATTTCACATTTAGGTATTTTGGAAAGGAAAGCAGCTTTTGCTGTTGGTGCTGGACTCATGATATGACATCATCGTTCTGAGACAATGTCTTGTACAGAAGCTTTAGCTGCATTGGAAGGCTAGCAGTTGCTAATGTCTCAAAATGATGACGACATTAATATTTACATGTATTTCTTAAAATTTAAATGTAACATATTGCAGTGAGTTAAATAACAATAAAATGTTAGTAGAAATTTTTAACACTCAGAATGTGATCTAAGTAATGAAAAATGTGTTAGTGAAATGTTTAAACATATTATTTTACACTTTGCATCCCATGCACCATGTTCTAAACAGGCATAGACATCTTCTTATATTGTACATTGTAAACCTTTTCTTTGTCTTCTGTAATTTACAGACCAGACCCCTGAAAACAGCTCTCTTTCGTCTGTTGAAGCTTCACCTGCCCAATCGCTGTCATTGCTCTCAGTTTCACCCCAAAGTTCAGCATCTACCTCATCCAGCAGCCCACAGCTTGACTCACACTGGGAGGACAATTTTGAAATTCCATGGACTAAATTTCAAGAAGAACTGATGCAATCTTTGGAGAGGGGGAAAAGACCAGGCCCAAAACTCAGGAGACAGATGGTCCGGATTGTTGTGACTGAGATGATGGAAAAATGCCCTCTCGTAGGTAAAAAGCATTCAACTGATGTCGCAAAGAAAATGGTGGCCAAGTATCCAAAATCTTTGCAAGATGTTATAGATGGAGACATTGTAGGCACAGGCTACCATTCCCTTGTCAAACAGTTGCAAAACAGAATTGAAAATGTGTGGCGCACTTCAACACCCAAAATGAGAAAAAGAAAACAGAGTAATTCAGATGACACAGATGAGATCCCATTAGAAGAGAGAGCAGCAATGCAGGACACTTATGGATGCATTAAGTGGAATGTACAATTCCTGCCTCGTGAAGAAACTCAAGAAAGCCAGCAGCAAAAGATGGAAAAACTCAAGGTGATGTTTCAACAGTCTGATGCCAATCCAGAGGAGGTGAAATGCTTTATGCAGTCCACCTTTTACACGCAGCGCCAACATGTCAACCAGGGTAAAAGTATCAAGTGCCTCAGAGAGGAGTGGCCATTTTTGTTTGATGAAATTGGCATGTCGATCCACTTCAAGGAACTCACTGGGATCAACCTCAAGGACACCTTCATACGCAACTTGGATCTGAAGGGAAAAAGGCTCCTCAACTACCTGACCACTGTTTGTGTCAAGAAGAATAAGAAGTTCCTTCAGACTTATGCAAGACTTCAGAGGCTGCGGGGACAGCAGAGTGGCTGCTCAGAGGATGTGAAAGAGATGGTCCTGCTTCTCCTCAACTACTTTGATGAGAAGGAGTCCATGTTCTTCTATGTAGATGAAACAAGTCTGGCAGAAGATGTGCAACTGGAGCAAGTGGCTGTAACGCCAGCCATCATTGTCTGTGGTAAGTCTGCTTCATATCTAATTTATTACGTTGTACTACTAATGGATTTTATCATGTGAGTATAGGACCTAATAATATATACCCTGCTCAATGATTATTTTTTTTTTTTTATAGGACAGTCATGCTATTCCTCAACAAGGTACATGCTGAGTCTGGACCGGACCCTTACCAACACAAACATCCCCTCCTTCATTTCTGCGTTGTGCCTGATGTTCGGGAGCTATTACTGTTTCAACATCCATTATCCGTCTGAGCTGGCTTCAACTCTGGAATTTCTTCAAAGGTAAATAAATATGGCTTGCTTTCAATTTGTAATACTATAAAACAGTATGTATTTTACTTTACTGAAACTTCAAAATAATTATAATGGTCGTCTTTTCTTTTAACAGGTGTTTTTTTCGGATAAATCCAGAAAAGGGAACCAAAGTGGAGAACAAAAACTCAAAGCGTCGTCTCAACCTGAACCCCCGAGTCCTCACCCTGATACAGGAAATCACCGATCACGAGTGGTGTGACACCTAAATAAGGACTCTCTCTGTGGACTCTTAACTGTTCAATGAAGAGGTACTGCAAGTTTTTGTTTTGTGGACTGTTAGTAGGAAAAATTATTTGAAGTTTCTGCTCTGTGGACTGTTCATTGTAGAACACTGCAAGGTTTTGTTTTTGGACTGTTCTGTTGGAGAAAAGGTACTACAAGTTTTTCCTTTGTGGACTGTTGACGTACTGCACATTTTTGCCTAAACTTCCACATTTCCACATTTTTTGAAGACAACTGCTAAAAATGTAAACTTTTACATTTAATTTCTTTTCAGCCTGGCACTTGGAAAATTTTGTTAATTGAAAACTGTCCTGACTAAAAGAGGCTAATCTTCTGCAGTTTTTGATTGTGGATTAAATCCGAGTCACAGAATATATTGACGCTGAATTGTTTACAAATGGTGACAATAAATTTTTTAAAGTGATATGTACCGTACCTCTCATTCCATGATGTTACATTTTGCATGTTTTGTAATGACAGTAGTAGTACTGGTAGTCAATTAGCGGGTTTAAAAAGTAACTCTTACCGTATAATTTGATTATTAACGATGAACAAAATACACAAAATATCTTTTTATTTTACATACAAAATTTTACTGTGGTTTTAACAGTTTAAATTAGTTTTTTGTTTGATATTTCCCAGTTAATTTTGCCTGTTATTGATGTACTAAAAACATTTAATAGAGGTAAGAAATACAGGAAAGGGTTGTCTTATGTAGAACACAACTATGCAAAATTAACATTTAATTTGTGTTGACTTAACAGACTAATAATGTTAATTAACAGTGATTTCAATCACTGTAAGTTAATTTACATCTTTTCTCGGTAGATTTAATTACTTAGCACCCGTAATTTTTACAGGAAAACTCTGGTAACCACAGCTGCCAGAGTTTTCCTGTAAAAACTACAGTTTTTTTTTTACAGTGCACATCTTACTGCCCCTATAAACAATTCAATCCCGTGAGTCACTTCTTACTTAAGGAAAGCCAATAAATTGCTGCCAGTTCATCCTGTTCCTCAGCTCCATCTCCAACAAGATGGTGCCAAAGGCGAAGCTTTCATAGCCACATACTGATGTGACACCTCAAACCACCTCAAGGATGAAATTATGTAAGCAGACTGGAACAGATTAAAACAGAATCCTTGTTCACAACTACAGGAGGGTTTGTCTGGACTTGCAGCTCTTGAACAAGGTAAGATAAAACCAGATTTACATTGTGCTACAAAAGGGAACATCTCCCCCTTATAATATCCTCCAGATATACCAGACTACACCATACACCTCCCACTTTAAAGCCTTTTTTTTTGTTTCAAAGTAGATACATTTAATTAGGCTACTCAGTCCAGTTGAACTTCCATGGAAAGACCGCGTGAAATTCAATTCGTTTTGTGTAAATGTGAGACTGGTCAGCGTTTCAGCCTCGGTTCAACTTTCCTCCAAAGTTAGCAGCAGTCGGTAAACATCCAGGCTGCCGCTACAAACACCCGACTTCAAAGGAATTACAGCCCGCAACTAATATCCAGACATTTCACAAGTTAAAGAAACGTCAGACACGCACAAATAATCCTTAGATTAATTCTTGTAGGGATTAAAAGTCTGAGTAATGCTCACCTTGAAAGGAGCACAGAGGGGCCGATCTGGATTCCTTTATCTCTCGGCTACAACTTCGTCGACGATCCGTTTGAAGTTGCGCCGCAGTTTAGACGAATCTGCTCTCCGAGTTGAAAACTGAACTTCGAAGTAAACAGCGAAGAAACATGAGGGCCATTTGTGTCCGTCTTCAAACTCTTTGTGCCCGCGGAGGAACAACGTGAAAAGTTTGTAGCTCCGTAGCGCTGAGGTGGAAGGCACACAGCCACGGTTTCAATCTGAACAGAGAGAAAAGCGTCGACGCAGCCCCGTAGTGTTCGTTTGGCCCCGCCCACTCGCTGCAGCTGACCAATGAGCTGACGCGTCACTGAAAGCGTTTCTTTATTCATTGTGCATCAGTGTCGTTACAAAGAAATGCAATAAATCACCCCCTGAAACACCTGCCACCAAGTCTGTCACCTGCTCACAAACAATGAACAGTCGCTTGAACGGAACCTTCAGAATAACCTAGTTTTGCACAGAAGAAAGCAATGGAGAATGCGCTGAAAATTACGCACACATAAAAACTTGAACAAAATTCAAATAGTCAGTATTAAGCAAATGAAACACTTGGCTCAGGGTTGTTGAGGCTCAGATTTTCCAAAAGTCTATGCATTGTAATTATTATGCATTATTGTTGCTCAGACTGTATGAATAATACAGTCTGAGTACTTTTGTACATCCACGTGCATTTTATTTTGCAAAATATTCAAGCAAAACATAATGTAAATGTATTTATTTATTTATTCATTCATTTAAAAGAAACAAAATAAATAAAACAAATTCATCAAAAAAAAAAAATTTGAATGAAAAGGGTAAAGAAAGAAGAAATAATTATTATATCTGCCCCTTATTTAAAAATTATATAAATTAAACAAACAACTCAGGCTTGAACAATCCCCAAAGTGAAAACAAAAAACATCAGGTATTCTTCACATGGTATCATCCTAACAATTTTAACTTAATCATCTTTTTGAAACATATAAATTGTCTTAGAATTTTTTATGGTGATGTTCTACAATCGTATTCCCTGAATTACAACACAGCTCCTTCAGACTAGTTCTAAATGGAGGTTTTACAAACATTTCCATTCCCTTAAGTTTATAATGCCGCTCTTTTTTTTTAAACAAATTTTGAATATTGGGGATAATATCTTTTATGAACTTTATACATGACTTGCGAAATACTATATTCAACCAAATCATAAAATTTTTACAATTTCAATTGATGAAATAATATATTTGTTGGGTGACCATAGCCCTTCCATTAATTCTTATAGCTCTTTTTTGTAAAAATAAAAATAAGATTTGTAATTGTTTTGCATGCCTTTCCTCAAACTTCAATACAATAGATTAAATATGGAACAATCATTACATTATACAATATATACAAAGCTTTGTCAGTGAAAAACCCTTTTACTTTATACAGTAATGTAATGGATTTTGCTATTTTTATTCTTAAGTAATTTACATAAGCTTTCCATGTCAGCTTCTCATCAATAACGACACCCAAGAATTTTATTTCATTAACTCTATGAATTTCAATACTGTCAATTTTAAATGGGACTTTAATAATTTTATTTCTATTACTAATTATCATGTATTTTGTTTTTTCCAAATTTAATAACTTATTAAGTATACATAATAGTATAATTCAGTCTACTTTATTAACTCCAGTAAGAAATAAGTTAATGTTCATAGTAATATACAAAAGGCACAAAAACAAGTTTCAAAAGCATTTATTTGCTGGATAAAGTTTTGCATTATTTTGACAAAAAAATTTAAACTAATTTTGTAAATGCATTTTTGATGCTATGGCAGAGTGAAAATTACAAAAATAAAAAAATAAATAAAACAAAACATAAAAGGATATGCCAATAAAAAAGTGTCTTACATATCCAAACATTATGGAGCTAAGGGTCTCAAAACGACCCACACGTGCACAGACAGTTTCACTAACACAACAGCATAAAATGAAGTTGAAAGAACAACTAAAGACTTCTGTAATGCTAACAAATTCACACAATAGATTATCTAAAAATGTTTTCGTTTATCGAAGACCATTTTAACTGAAGACCATTAATATTGAAGATAATGATCGGTGCATGATAGTTGACCCACAGCTTTTTTCAAAGCCTTGACCTGAACAAAATCGCAGGGAAGTATTTTTGGACCCGGTGGTGCAGTGATGACATATCTCATCTAACTCACACGATGAAAGCTATATTCTTTTCACTCAAAGCTTTTAATCATAGCTGATTGCATAAAACACTAAGCATGAAAGTTTGCAAATTGGGATTCAGAAAGTCAGGAGTCTTTCAACACACCCATTGCTATCCTCAGACAGATGTAATCAAACAAAAATGTTGGTTGAATTATTTCAATGAATGTTTTCCAGGTAAGTGTTAAAATATGCCCTCTGTAAAACTTGTTTCATCAATGTCTTCACGGCATTGGCAAGAATTAAAATCCCAGTGAACGATAAAAAAAGTGTGACAAAATTTCAAACTATTGCACACCACATAAATATATTCATTATTATTGCGTCCTGGCTCATTGTGGACGCAACATAGATGACAAAACCCAAGTTTGTTAAACAGTAAGTGACTATTTTTACTGTCCGAGCTCAGGGCAATAAACAAAACACGGCAATAATTTGCATTATCTTTAAAAATTAACTAAACAGCAAAACAGCTTGTCTTCTGAATAATAAACCAATTGAGGACAAAAGTGAAAAATCCAAAAAGAAACAAAATACACAATCCTGACTAACAAGGATCAGAAACTAAAACAAGTGGCTCAACCATGAGAATGAAATCTCTCCAAACAAGGTGTCTTGGCTACATAGGTTACAACAACATAACAGAACCAAAAGCAAGACATCCATCCATCCATCCATCCATCCATCCATCCAGCCATCCATCCATCCATCCATCCATCCATCCATCCATCCATCCATCCAGCCATCCACCCATCCATACATACATACATACATACATCCATACATCCATACATACATACATACATCCATACATCCATCCATCCATCCATCCATCCATCCATCCATCCATACATCCATCCATCCATCCATCCATTCATCATTATCTTTACCCGCTTCTTCCTTTTTGGGTCTCGGGGGTCACTGGTGCCAATGTCCAACAATCACTGTGCGAGAGGTGGGGGACACCCTAGACAGGTCTCCAGTCCATCACAGAGCCACATAGAGACAAACAAGACATCAACCATTCTCTGTCTCATTCACACTTAGGGACAACAGAATCAGCCTAACATGCATGTTTTTGGTCTGTGGGAGGAAACTGGAGTACCCGGAGAAAGCCCACATAGCATGGAGAGAACAGGCAAACTTCACCCAGAAAGTCCCCCGGCTGGGATTTGAACCGGAGCAACCTGCTCGCTGAGAGGCAGCAGCTCTAACAACTGCGCCACCGTACTGCCTGCAAGACAACTTTAGAAACCACAATTCAGCATAACACATATACACTGGCTGCACATGAAGCACAGCAGCACTGAAGGTTAGGGCTGGATTTTCAAATCTCCCTCTCATTCACCTGGCCTCCTCATTGGCATCCACTGATGGATGGGTGGTGCTGCCCACATCTCCTCCAGCCAATCATCTTGGGACAGGTAAGCCTTGAAAGCCTTGGTTGGGAGTACACCAGTAGATGGGTCAGCCAACCAGCAGCTGGAGATGAACTACCAGGAAGAACCATCAAAGTTCATGCTCAATAATACAGGTACAAATCCAACAATCATTTCATCTGGACGGCTTCTATTTTTTGCCGAGACGTTTCATCCTTCATCCAAAGGATTTCTTCAGTCTGAGAAGCCACAAACAAACTGAGTCCCACAAGCAACACACTCCCATAGTGGGAAAAAAAAAAAAAAAAAAAACAGTTTGCTGGTGATAAGATGGTTTCTGGTGCCCACCCTCTCCCCCATCAACTCCTCTGAGGCAGCCATGCCAAAGTGATTCAAAACAACACATTTCATGCTCAATAATCCAGGTACAAATCCAACAATGTTCATTCAGGTACTGGTGACATAACAGGAGGAAACTTCTCACATGGAAAGGCAGTACAGGCCTGCAGCCGTGACATTACATGTTTTTAAGAAAGTCAAATATTGATGCATGAGCTCTGGGGTCTTCTGACATCATATGGGTTTGAAGATGCGAAACAATCTTTTAATATCTATGCATATTTACACACACATGACAATAGTGACAACAAAAAGGTCATGAAGATCAACGAGCATCTTTTCTCCAGGCTTGTCACAACTGGCTCCACAACAGTCTCAATGATCATATGATTGCAGGTTAAGTGCCTCTGCAGAGCACATGCAATTTTTTCTTTAGTTAAATTCCTGAAATTTTTGGGAAGATTTGAGTTCTTGTGAGGTTTAAAAGAATTTATCAAGAATGTGTTTACCTTTCAGGCAGGGTTTCACAACAAAAAGCAGGCAAAAAGACACAACATCGAACAATGAAAGGTCGTGTCAACACTAAGAAACGCAAATAAAAAATGTTTTCAGTGAATTCATGAATGACAAGCGTATTGAAGAATTAGAGAAATTAGGATTGTTTTGTTCTCTGTACAAATGTCCTAGTTGGGATTTGCCCCAACATGTCGATAAATGTACTTGCTGACACGAAATAAAGCATTTAATGTAGGTGCTACTTCCTATAGGCTCTGCTCTGCAACCTGTCTCTTTGGTTTACAAATAGAAGAGAGCTATTGTTCATACGTGCAAGGCAAACTTTGTGGAAGAGCCTGCTTTTGTTTTTTTTTCCCTTTAATTTTTGTTTTTTTGCACTGAACTGACTGAACTCAAGCAGTCGGAGCCCCACTTAGAGAGTGGATGCCACACTTCTCAGGTTTCCCCTTGTGTTTTATGGGCTCTTCATGCTCTCATTTCTGTCATTCAGCAGCTGCTTTGGAAGCTAAAAGGCTGTTGCTGTTCCTCGGTTGTCAGAGATCTTGTAGATGAGAAATATATTGATTTAATGTTAATTATTTATTTATTTATTTATTTATTTATTTATTTAAACCAGCCACTAGCACAAGCCGATTCCAAGCCCGAGTAAAAAGTGAGGGTTGTGTCAGGAAGGGCATTCGATTCTTACAAATATTTAGGTATTTGGTCGATTTGCATCTCTCCTTTAAGCCCCATGTTGAAAACTTGGTACAGAAACAGAAGGTTAAAGTGGGCTTCTTTTTCAGAA